TAACTCATCCCTTTCATTCCCTAAAAGATCTCCAAAGCACTTTTTTTTTTTTATCAAAAATTGAAAATCTTATAGAATATTCTTTTGTTCGTGAGAATGCTTAGAGCTTAGAAACATTTACTCCTTTACTCAATCATTATAATATTTTCAAGAGACAAAGATCTACTTTCATATTTATCTTTAAGCTTATCACTACTAAAAGACTTCAAGTTAAAGAATATGTCCAATCTTTTAGAATGGATCAATGTTCTTTAGTTGTTAACTTTGAAGAATAATATGTCAATATATATCAAGATACACCAAGAGCTTATCAGACAATGGCAACATGAAGGTTACACTCACCTTCATTATGGTACAATCAAACTGATTCTTTCTCTCCGTTGAATAAGAGGTCTACTTGCCTTGGTGAGAATTTCTCTTTTAGACTCTAGCTACCTCCACTATGAGAATGCTATAATTGGGACTATCCTAATTACAATACACGTTGGAAGTGTAGTCTTGACTATCTTTCCTAATTATAATAGTTTGAAAGATCCCACTATTCCACTAAAGGTTCAAGTTCAAATCATTGGAGTAGACCAAGTAACTAATGTCTTATAAATCACTTTTTATCACCAGATAATTAATCTATAGACTATAAGACTATATCATCAAGTTCTCATTACCTACCAATAATAATGGTGTTTTGTTTGTCCTAACCAACAATCAAGATGAGACTTCTTTAATCATTCAAATCCCTTGGAATAGCTCTAAACAACAATTACAAGAACTCATTCTTTCAAAATGAATAACTAATAATGACAAAAATGACTTTAAATAAATTTATAAATAAAACTATAAAAATCATCTGTAAGAGACCTAATGAAATTTTTAATAATAGTTCATCCTCAATTTTCTAATCAATAATATTTTTTTTATTTACAAAAAGGAAAAGGATTTCTATTTATATTATTTCATAAGTGGATAGTCACTTTATTTATATTGATAAAGTGAATATTCATATAAAGTGAATATTCATAGTGAATATTCACTTTATATGAATGTAGATCCTAATATGTATATAATATTATTTAATATTTTAAATAGACGCGAGACCAGATTGGTGTTGCAAACTGACTCTCCAACTTATTAGTCTTATTTCTCGAACATTAATGAATAAGAGAGAACCATAATAAATTTTACATTAATTATTTCTATTTTTAATTCTTTTTTTTTTTTTTTTGTTGTTGAAGAAACTCCAAATTCTATTACTTTCAGTTTTTCGTTGGTGCCAATTGCCCCTAAATAAACACATAAAATTAACCTCCAATATTCCACCCGTGAATTTCTAGCCTCCATCCAAGCCTAACCCACAGTTTTAATTTTTAAACCCTCTGATTACCGTGAGCCCAGCTAAGCCAAATCCAGCGTATAAAATTGCAATCTCGTATTCCAATTCCTCAGTGGCCACAAACAACATTAAAGCGTAACGAACAGACACAGATCTGCCGTATGATGCTAGATTTGTGGTTCCAGCTCTTTTCACTCTCTTAGTTCATTGGTTTTATCAACCAAAATTGTACCTTTCAAACAAAAGCATCATCTCATCACTTCACTCTCACTTTCACAATTCACATCATCACGTTGTAACAGCACAAACATGGAAGTTGATGGCAGGTTTCTGAGCACATGTCTCCTCCTTGCGGCCACAATCCTTGTGGCCAAACTCATATCAGCCTTCATAGTGCCCAAATCCAGAAAGAGGGTACCCCCAGTAATGAAGGGGTGGCCCCTCATTGGAGGGCTTTACCGGTTCCTCAAAGGGCCAATTTTTATGCTCCGTGAGGAGTACCCTAAGCTTGGGAGTGTTTTCACCCTGAAATTGTTTCACAAAAACATCACCTTTTTGATTGGCCCTGAGGTTTCTGCACACTTTTTCAAGGCCCCAGAGAGTGATCTTAGCCAGCAAGAGGTGTACCAGTTCAATGTGCCAACTTTTGGACCTGGGGTGGTGTTTGATGTTGATTACTCCGTGAGGCAGGAGCAGTTCAGGTTCTTCACTGAGGCTCTTAGGGTGAACAAACTCAAGAGTTATGTCAATCAGATGGTTGCAGAAGCTGAGGTATATGTTGATCTTTTTTTTTTTTATCTTTAGTTATTGATTGATCTAATAATGTGATGATGTTGCCCCGTGTTGATGTGTAATTGTGTTTTCGATTGGTTTGTGAATTGTGACATTAGGTCTTGAAATTGATTATTGTAATCAGGAATTTGTTTTCCATTTTGTGTGTGTGCGTTTTAATTTCCTGTGATTTTGGTGGCATCTTGCATGTGATGATGGGATGGGGGAAAATTTTGTCAACCCCCTTCTAGTAAACTTGTCAATGGTGAGGCTCATAGTTTTAGATCCATTGTGTTATTGCTTTTGCTCTCAATTTTCATTGACCTACTTTATGTAATACACGTTTGTGCTTTCAATTCAATGATTCGGTGGGATTTGGTCTAGCCACACCTGTAGTGTATGTTTGGAAACCGTTATTGGGCATTCAATTCGATGATTTGGCGGGACACGCCTGCTATGATCCGTGTGTATGGTTGGGAAACGGTTTGACATGATGCAAACGGGAATTCCACGTGTAGTGTATGTTTGGAAAACCGATATTGTGCATTCAATTCAATGATTTGGCGGGATTTGGTCAATGGCCACGCTTTCGATGATCCATGGTGTATGGATGATCCATGGTGTATGGTTGGGAAACCGTTTCACGGGAATTCCATTTGTAGTGTATGTTTGGAAAACTGTTTGACTTGATGCAAACGGGAATTCCCACTTTTCAAAGCATAAAAATAGGAAGCAAGTTGTTGCATATAAATGACTTTGCTTTATTAGAGTGAAAAGTGTGGTATTATAATTTATAATAAATTACATGGACATCTTTTGAAGTTTTGTGAGATTGCAGATAGACTCCATGTTTTTTCTACTACTACACTAACTCCTTTAATTGTTTTAAAAACACGACATCAACACCCTTTTAGACAATACATTACCTCCCTCAATTATTAGTTGTTTGAAAAACATTGTGTGTTTCCCTATAAAGGATGTTATTATAAATGCTAAAAATGTTGGGAGTTACGAGCAATCCACAAAACTTAGAGAATATTAGTGTAATTACTCTAATCTATAATTCTTGCAAGTAAATGGAGTATAAATTAACAATTTCATAATTCATAGAAAATGTGCATACATTTTTATCACAATAACAGGCCACTGTATTGACTCAATGCTATAACTTTATCTCTCATCTTAGAGTTGGCTTTTTCCTATTTTAATTGAAAATAAAATTTTATGCTGCTGCCTGAATTCAATCCCATATTAAGTTGGTGAAGCTCGTTCACTTCCATTTGGACTTGACTAATGGTGAAATTGCATTAAACCTGGCAGTTGATTGTTTTGTTTCTTTATGTTGTTAATAGTAAACTCTTTCCTGTAATTGTTGTTGGTTGTTTACCAATGTGGCATTGAAGATTGTTATTTCCAAACACAAACCCAATTTGCAGGACTATTTCTCAAAGTGGGGACCTAGTGGTGAGGTTGATTTGAAGTATGAGCTTGAGCATCTGATCATCTTGACGGCCAGTAGATGTCTCTTGGGGCGTGAAGTTCGTGACAAACTCTTTGATGATGTCTCTGCATTGTTCCATGACCTGGATAATGGGATGCTTCCAATCAGCGTTCTCTTCCCATACTTGCCAATCCCAGCTCACAAGCGCCGTGACCAGGCACGCAAGAAGCTGGCTGAAATCTTTGCAACCATCATAGCTTCTCGCAAAAGTGCCAACAAATCAGAAGATGACATGTTGCAGTGCTTCATTGACTCAAAATACAAAGATGGTCGCCAAACGACAGAAGCTGAAGTGACTGGACTCCTCATTGCTGCGCTATTTGCAGGACAACACACAAGTTCTATTACCTCCACTTGGACTGGTGCATATCTGCTGAGTAACAACCAGTACCTTTCAGCTGTGCAGGAGGAGCAGAAGAAGTTGATGGAGAAGCATGGGGACAAAGTTGATCATGATGTTTTGGCTGAAATGGATGTGCTGTATAGGTGCATCAAAGAAGCTTTGAGACTCCACCCTCCACTGATTATGCTGCTGAGAAGCTCACACAGTGATTTTAGCGTCACGACAAAAGAGGGGAAAGAGTATGACATCCCCAAGGGTCATATAATTGCCACATCACCTGCTTTTGCAAATAGGCTAGGTCACATTTTCAAGGACCCTGACAGGTATGATCCCGATCGGTTCGCTGTTGGGAGGGAAGAAGACAAGGTGGCAGGTGCATTCTCCTACATTTCATTTGGCGGCGGCAGACATGGATGCCTTGGGGAGCCTTTTGCTTATCTGCAGATAAAAGCAATTTGGACTCATCTGCTGAGGAATTTTGATCTTGAGTTGGTGTCACCTTTTCCTGAGATAGATTGGAATGCCATGGTTGTAGGAGTGAAGGGAAAAGTTATGGTCCGATACAAGCGGAAGGAGCTCTGTTAATCAGTAGGATCTCATGCTTCATTTTCTGATGTGAATTTATTTTAAGCAGTTTTTGTTAGTTTTTTCTGGTTCAACTTCTGTCCAAGTTCACTGTTTATTGGACAATGGATATCTAGAATCTTGGTTTTAATTTTTTCCTTTTTTTGTAATTGTGGTAAGTGATTTAAAACTTACTTTGGTATGTGTATTAGATGCTAGGGTGGTGCAAGTAGTTACTTGGGTTCAAGTGAAATGATTATAGTAAACTTATTTTTCTTCTGGTCATACACTACAAAAAAAGTTGTGGATTATATATCTACTGTCTAGCACAATTTTTTGTTGTTGGTAGATTGTGATCTAGGAAAAATCACATTATAATTTGTTTATATAAGTGTAAACTGAGGGATGCATATTATGTGAGGAGTGGTTTATTATGAAGGATGAAAGGAAAAAACAATGTAATACAGCCCAATAAGTTTCGGAACGGCAGCAGTGTGTGCTCGTAATGCTTTGTCACAGAAGGTTGTGGACAACAAAGCGGATGCTGGTATTGTTGTTTTCCCCGCCTTTTTGGATAGGAATTTTTCGGTGTTTTATCAGTCTCTACTCTAGCCTTTTAATACATTGTTATTATTATCCCCGTGTTAACAGGGCTAGGTTTTTTTTTTGATTCGAGGGAATCACTGGTACTAAGAGGGTTCACAACACTTATGCACCCTATTCAACCAAATGAGCTAAACTCACTTGGTAACAGAGCCAGGTATGGAATCATACTTGTGTCTAATTATCTAATACATTAATTTGCTGGAATATGCATATAAATTCAAGTCAGACTTGATGAATATAGCAATGACTAGTTTGATCTCCAGGATTCTGTCACAGGACAAGGAGCATTTTGCTAAATTAGCTGTGGATGTTGTAATGACTAAAGGTGAACTGTTCCTATCCTTCTGAGTACCAGTTCAGTTTTCAATTTTAGCAAATTCAGCTTATAGTGTCTGTATTGTTTGTCAAGTTCTTTTTGACTACCATGGAACAGTAGAAAAACTTGGTAGTTTTTGAAAAATTATAAAGAGTAATATTACACATGTAACAAAATTTTTACATACTTTTGTGTTTATCTTTCTCTATCACTTCATTTATTATGGAGTTATATTATTGATGATGGAGAGAGATTGACACAAAATTTTGTAATGTTATACAACTTTTGTTGTATGTGTAACTTTACTCTTATAAATATTCACCCCATTTTGGGTGGAAAGTGAGAGGTAGAGAGAAGGAAGGTAGATAGACAAGGTGATATTTGATAAATGATATGATAAGAATAAAATTTGGGTGGAAGTGAGTTGTTAGAGAGTGGAACGTGTGCTGTAAAGTACTCATTATTTTTTGCTGGGTTATCTCAGTTTTTCATTTGGAGTAGTGATCATTCCCTTTTCTAAGTGGTTTAAAAGTAGTAAGTGTTCTTTAGTTGACTTGTTAATTTACAATAAAGTTATTCATTTTTTTACTGTGCAAAGTGTGCTCACGTGATTATGCCTCAAAGGAATTTTTTATTAGTGAGCTATAATGTGGTAATTTAACTTTGTCTTTTCATGTTTTCATTTCTTTGTATCTTGCTTTTGAATGATCTGTTTGAAATGCAGGGAAGCATGGATTTAGAATTGAAGGCTATAATCAATATTGAAGCACTTTGTTTTCATTCTTAGATGAAGGCTATATAATCAATATCTATTCATGGTGAATTATATTACTTCCTTTAATGCTGTTTCCGTACGAAATACTAATTATTGAAATTGTACATCAGAATTGAAGCATGGCTCGATTAGTTTAGACTTGAAGTGATTAAAAAAGTGAAAATTAAAGGCTAGGATACATGTAATTAACTAGCCTATAAAAAGCTCTGGTTCTCCCTATTCCTATAGACTCCAAAATACATTACTACCTCGTGCTTTAATAACAAGCAATAAGTTAGATTTTTCTTTAGTCTTAATTATAAATAATAATTATTAATTTTTAAAATTAATTAAAATTAAATTTCTATTATACTCTTTATTTATTGTTAATTTTATTTTTTTTATACATTTATAACTAACATTAAATATAACAATCACTTAAAAGTAAATAGTATATTTAAAATAAAATTTGAAGTTATGGTAAAATTAATTAAAAATAACTATATTAAGTAGTTTTCTTGATTTTAATAATTTGTTCAATGTTACTTATAATTAAAATTGAAGATAGTAATAGCTTTTAAATGAAACACTTGGTCGATTTGGTTCATTCAATAGTCAGCATCTTCATGAATCTTCTCAAGATGAAAAAAAGAAAAATAATGAAAATGGTATAGAAGAAAAGGTTAAATATATCAGGTTGATGTAGACATAGCAACCCACATAAACATTTCTCGAAGGTGGTGCATTCATTTGGTTCTCCATTAACACCAATAGAAATTCTGATGGAAAGAAAAAAATTCCTAGTTGAAATTAAACTTGCATAAGTATTTGAGGCCTTAGCAGCATGCTCGGTGATAGGCTTGCATCAATAGTTCAGTATAGTACTTTTGGGAAATACGGATGTAGTTATCGACTTGTTTTTCATTTTATGATCTGCAAGGATTACTCGTTGTTCTTGTAAAGATTATTACGCCATATTGTTCCCTTATACTGAGTTTGCTCAGTTTCCCTAAGTCTAATTAAACACCTTCCCTGATCTTTTTGTTTTATAAATTTTATTTTCATTTCACGGGAAAGAAAGATTATATATTATTACAGGGGGTATTTTCTTCATTCTACTTCCATTTTTGTTTATTTATTTATCCTATGATATGATGTAACCGATTATTTATTCGTTGGTTAACATTATTTTTAAAACAAAATGACTACATGTGATTATCTTTCATTTGGTTTCTATGCTAATTTTTTTATGCATGTTATGACGACATATAATCGCCAATAAATGTTGAATTAAAATAAATTGAGAATTCATATTTTGGCAGTTTAAAGTGACAAATAAATACTAAATTAAATAAATTGAACATGTATTTTCTGGCTGTTTTAACTGCCAATAAATATTTATCATTTTCTGGCCAAAAAACCTGTCTGAACAAAATATGCCATTAGCCATTTTTGGCGGACAAAACATAGAACTTGTTTCTCAAGAAGATATGTGTTGGTCTCCCACCTTAGTCTTCACCTGATCTTATTCATATTCTAGCCAACTGAAGTAACCGGATCTATAAAGGTAGTTCTTAAGAGTTTAGGATGTACGTGTACCATCATCACACATGTGCAACTATTATTAATCCATATTTGTTCTATAATAAACAAGGTAGTTCTAGTACAAGTAAATGGGAAATGGAAGGGTTATGGCACAATAATTTGATACAGAATGGGTGGATCAATATATGATTTTTGAGTTAACTAAAGAGTAGATCAATAACACGGTAAAAGTTGAAGATAGTGAATATTAGGACAGCAACTCCCACTATAGTAGAACTGGTTCTCCAAGGGTCACGAAAGTAAACCCACCTTAACGTGCCCATAGCCCATTTCCAATCATTGTTGTAGTGATTATTAACGTCTTCCATGATTTGGTGGTAGCATGTTGAATTTGTCACCACATGTTTGCAAAGACCATTAACCAAAGTTGCTAACTCCTTATCACTCCCTAGTTCATGGACAATAGCTTCTTTCTCAACAAGCAACTCTGCATCATCTTTGGTGTGAATAAGAGAGTCAATTAGAGAAACATAGTTGCAAATGTAAGGCTCCTCAGGATAGTGACACTGCTCAAAGGCTACTAGGTTCCTAAGAACACATTCTGTTGTGTGGTCCACTTTTAATTGGGGTATTTGAAACGTGGCTTTGAACAACTTGCAGCATGGCAAGCAACCCAAGCAAAGAAACCAGCTGAAGAATCGCTTCTTCTTAAACTTTATGTCAAGTAAGCATCTATCATTAACCTTCTCAAAGCTGATCCCAGCCTCATTCAACTTTGTTGCAGTCCTTAGCACACACTCCTTTTGAGAATGGTCTGTCTGGCTTCTCAGTTCGTTAGGGAGATAGGAATTTCTAATTAGATCAGTGAAATGTAGTGATTTCTCCCACTTACGTAACTCAAACTTGTTTTCTGAAGATTTCTGATGAGGATAATAAGATCTAAAGTATTTTTGAGCAAGCTTAATAAATCTGGTATGCGTTTTGACACTGCTAGGGACAACTTTATCATATAGTTTTTCCAACACTATCATTGGAAGCTGATTCTCAAGCAGCATCAAGTCACACTGGATACTTTTGCTGACACATCCTTGAGTCATTAGATAGTCATCCCTATATTCCCATTTTTTGTCTTCTCTTAGAAACAGCTCCATGATGAATACAGCATCCAACAGTATCAACTCCACAAATTGCTCCTTGCTGATATAAGAGAATTTCTTTTGGTAACACTTGCGTAGTTTTGGCTCTTCTTGTTCAAGGAAGGATTTGTACTGCACTAAATTAAGCTCGCTTTCTAGGCGTTCCCTGAAGAAGTGAAAATATCTTTGTTTGTCCACTTGCATTTCCTTTAGTTCTTTTTTCTTGTGGTGCACAGGGCCAATTGAGACCATTAGAGGAGTGTAGGCCACTTTTTTCACCTTCAAAAGACTAGAAGGTACCTTGTAGATACAACATTCAGGCCACAATGCAGGCTCAATCTCTTCTGGGATGTTAATTATGTGTTGGATTTGATGTTGAACAGAAGAACCCATGAGATCTCTTTTTCTTTTCCTGCTGAGCAAACACATCAACCATCAGATAAATGTGAGCATGTTTGGATTCATGTCAATTTTGGTTGGTTGGATGTGGATAAGTGGAAGTAACAATTAGTTGCTTTTGTATTAATTTTAATGTGATTATTATTCAAACGTAGATCATGAATGTGAAACCAAATATACTCTAAATCACTTGTGATTGATACAAACTTGGAGCCAAAATTTTAGCTGTTTCCATTTTCAAATTTTGAAGATTTAGAAAATATGTTTGTTTGGACTTTTAGGGGCTTTTCGCTCATGATTTTTTCACCAAAAGGATCACAGAATCTTTTAGAGGCTTCCTGAGGTTCATATCATCTCCACTGTTTACTTTTTGAAAATTGTTAATCTTGTTTCTTTAGTGCATTTGCAATGTAGAGATATGAACTTAAAATTTACGTATCTTTTTGAGAAATGACTCACTTTAAATGCAAACCACTTTTTAATATTCTTGTAATGTAAATAAGAAAATCCATGCTCTCATCAAGTAAAGGAAGTAAAAAGACAACTATAGTACAGATATGCCTCTTCACAATAAGATAACTGACTTTAAGAAAAAGGGCAGATTCCACTTATATATACACCAAGGATCCACCCATCATCTTCATGTACAAACACAGTGCATACACCTCTCACAAAATTGGCTTTGCGACTTTGGCTAAAGGCATTCTTGCTTTGCAAAAGATAAAATTAAAAACTTTAAATATCCACTACAAACAGAAGTAGGACCAGAACACAAGAAGGGGAGGAAAATCACTAGTGAAGAAACCAATGGCAACATCTCAAAACAGTTAAAATAAAACAAACAAAAGCAGAATGAAAAACCAGAAGCAGAACACAGATATGAGAAGTGTGAATAAAAGCTAGAATAGTCTTTTCCTCATAAAAAAATCATTGCACAGTTTTACAGTGAAGACTAATGGCTCCATAAACAGTGGCATAAAAAGAGTGATAAACAAAATTAACTGCTAAAAGTATCTAATAGGCATTATCTTATCCCAAACTAGTGTTAACTAAAATGCACATTGTATGAACCTGAAAAACTGTATCCTCCAACAAGTTCTCAGTTCCAAGCTCCTGGATCTCCACTTCTACACTCTTTTTCTCAGTCTTTCTGGTTTGTGTACTGAAACTTTATGAGTGTGCCTTGTAGATGTAGTAAGTGAAAATTCAAAATGTCAAAGAAAATATAGTGCTTGAAGAAGAAAAGTCCTGAACTACTTTAGGACAAAATTGATTATGTTGATGTTCTAATTTTGTTTATTAATGCTTGGCGGACTTAATGATAAAATGAATTATTGGAAGATTGGGAAATATTTTGCATTATTGAAATACGTACTACTTTTATTACTTTGTCAGTTCATGATGAACAGTACTTTAATGACGAGTGAGTGATTGGAGTTTCGTGGACCCAAAAATTGATTGCATGAAAATATCGGTAGTTCTGTGAATCAAAGGCTAATAACTTTTAGACGTCATCTAAATCACTTACATGAGTAATCAACATGAGGTGAGTTTTTTATTTTATTTTTTTTTTAAAATTTGGTTTAATTATTTGTTTGCTTTTGTTATACAATATTGCATCTGATTGTTTAAACTTAAAAAAAAATGTATTCGTAAAATATTTATATTTTTTTTAAAAGTAAATAGGAGTTACTTCTTAAAAATATTAAAAAACTATTTATTTAAAAAAAAAGTCTAAAAATTCAAGTAAAAAAATTACTTATTTTATTTAGAAGTGCTTTTATGATTTTTTTAAAAAAACAAAACATAGGCATTATATTTTTAGTTAGTAGATGGTTAATTCAAGCAAATTAATTATGTTTTTAGTTAGTTTTTATATTATATAATTTAATTCAATAATATTTTTATCATTGATTAAATTGGTTAAACTTTGTTATCTAATCTTCACTTATTTGATTTTTAATTTGATGTTTGAAAACTTGTTAGTTGTAACCTTGTCCTTTTCATCATTTACTGATTGGTTTGCATTATATATATATATATTTTTTTAAAAA